TTTTAGTTGTAAAGAGCCAATTCAAAATTCAAAAAAACAAATTATGGACTATGATGTCTTTGTATAATTTTATTTTTCTCATCTAGGCATATGAGGAGTATGAGTTTTTATTTAAATTTAAGCAAGGATTAATTTTGAATTGTTAATCTCTTCTCAGAATTAACTAGGGAGATTTTTCTTAGTCTTTTGAAATAAACTTACCTTTTGGATATGTCTTAAAATAATAATTTAAACATTTTTAAACTACTCTTAGAAGCAACAAGTGGAACAGGCTCAAATGAATCTAACTTAATTTTAAACTTCTACTAAGTCATAAAAGATACCTGCACTGTGTCATTCATTTCTCTTCTTCCTTGGCAAAACTGAATAGCATCAGATTCTTATACCTTTTCTATTTCTTCTACAAGAAAAAAAAACACAGGAAAACCTGCAGCTGTGGTAACAGTTGCTTGGGAACCATTTAACATCACTTTCTAATCTCCTTCCATTGTTGCTATATTAGTTTGATTTAGATGTATGCATGTATGTATGGTGTTTCAATTTTTTTCAAGAAAAAAACATGTCGTATGGAAATTGTGATCTAAATCCATTTTTTTTCTAAATAAAAGGATTAAAGCAGTAAAATTGCACATATTGACTGAGAAATGTAGAACCTTATATTTTAGCTCTTTTCCCCCATTTTCCTGCTAATTCTGACTGAACAAAGCTAAATGTGCAAATACACCTTTGCAATGAAGCAGTGCAACAGCAGCAGCAAACATTTCTGCCAGTACTGCAGTAGAGTAGGGGAGGGGTAAGAAGTGAACAATTGCAGGCTACCTTTAATGCCTCTAGTTATCGTATATACACTGTTACCATGGAATTTGTGCTTTTTTTTTCTGAAATAAAGTTGATTCTGTTAGCACTATATTAGCGTATGTAAGTTACTTAACAGTTTTCTGCTTTGGTTTCCTTATCTGTAAATTAGGGATAACAGTCTCTGAAGGTCATTTGGAAGATCAAATACTATAACGTATGTAAAATCTTTTCTCAAAGACCTGGAGTCACAGGTTCTTAGTTTGAATTTTAACCCTGCAAGTATGGCCTGGGCAAGATTCTTAACTTCTCAGGGCCCCAGGGGTAAAATGTACATACCATATCCCATGTCTATAATCTTTTCCTCTGATCTCTGCATGTTGTTGTTTCTCACTTGCATCAAGGCCCAGGTCAGATGCCACCTCCTCCATTGTGTACCAAAAGAAGTATAAGTGAAGTATAAGATGTCTGCCAGCTCTGGATTTATGATTCTATAGAAATATCAATGGCTTTTGATATTCCATTCCATTCCATAATCATCGTGAGTCTATAAAACTGCAGCACCATGGTGTGGTGGATAGAGGACTATCCCTGGCATCCAGAAGACGTAGGTTTGAGTTCTGCCTTAGACACATAACGACTGTTTCAACATGGGTATGGCACTCTCTGTCTCAGGCAACTCCCTATTACTACATTAAACTGCCAATCTGCATCAGTAGAAGAAGTTTCTACATTGGAAGTTCTACATAGTGATGAAATCTTAGGAACAGACTTAGATAAACAAACAAAAACAAACCACAAAAAAAATCTGCCTTTGTTTGGGAATGAGTTTTCTGAGCAAGAGAGTTTCTTATAAGAAGTATCAGCCCCATGGTTAGTTTTGCAATTCAATTGAGTTAAATCTCTTTCAGTAAGTGTCTACTAAGGCAGTGAGGTGGCACAGTGAATAGGGTACCAGGCTTGGAGTCAAGAAGACTCAGTATCCTGAGTTCAAATGTGGTCCCAGACTCTAGCTGCATGATCCTAAACAAGTCACTTAACTCTATTTGCCTAAGTTTCCTCATCAGTAAAATGAGCTAGAGAAAGAAATGATGAACCATTCCAGTATTTTTGCCAACAAAACCTCAAATGGGATCATGAAGAATTGGATATGATTGAAAATACTAAACAACAAATTTACCTGAAATTCCACTTTTTTTTTGAACTATGGCTCTCAATGGAAGAGTAAAGACATATGGCACAATATTTGTGCCATGTTACAGATTTTGAAGCTTCTGAATGAATATTCATCACATGGAAATGGACAAGAGCTTATTTGTGCATGGCAGAAACATAATTTGGAAAAATGGACACCAGATGAGGTGTATCTCTGAGCTTAGTTGTTCATTAACATATTTTGAGAGAAAATTGTGTGAGCTGTTTCTATTATGTTTTTGCAAATTGGTACAAATTAAAATGTCAGCTAAGTCATTATTGACAGTATATAGCAATAATGTGAAAGTGTCCTCATCTGACCAGAAGCTGCTAATACATCATCTCACCCTGTCTGTACCAAAGAAGCAAGCTTTGTCTACAGGTTGATTTTTCACCATGGCAATCCTTGTTATGTAGCTTAAAAAAAAAGTTGGTAAGGATTTTACTACCTTGGTTATTACTTATCCTCTAAACTAGATTATTCTTCACTTAAGAAAAAGGAATAAGGGATACAGAGAATCATATGGTGTGGTTAAAGTAACAGAACAACATAAGTCAAAGGGCAGAATTATGAGTAGCTCATCTATTTTCAGTTTATTTGAATAAATAAAAAATAAAACCAGAAATGGTTTCAGATAATTTACTAAATGGAATAGTGATTTGTTTTACTTGTGGGAAGTTGTTGTGGTATAGGGAAGTGGACTTGTCATCAGTGTAAGAAAAAGCAAAGAAAACCCTGTTGTGTAGACCTTAAGGGCAAAATATTCATTATGAGCTAGTGGAAGGACATTATGTTCTCATAGAAACAATGGCTCTTGAAACCATTTAGGAGATCTTTGCTTGAGGGGCATCCTAGGGGATAAATGTCTGTTATCACTATAATTATTATTTAGATATCAGGAAAAAGGGAAAAAGGAACTCATCAGAAAATGTACAAGTTCTATTCTAAGTTGAATTCCTGGGATCCTTACTTTTTTTTTTGTAAGGACATGAAAAAAAATTATATTTCCAGTCACTTTTACAAGAAGCTTATTTAAGAGTTATTCAGAGAGCTTATCCAGAGCACCCAAATATCCTGGTTTCCTCCTTAGAAACTAGTGAACCTTTGAAATGGGTCAGTGTGTTTCAGAAACTAAATCACCTACTCCTGAGTGAGTCTTTTAAGTAGGTATTAATAAGAGGCACCTTTTGGACCTTACACCATTCTCATAATAGAATCTTGGGAATCCAGCCAATTTGGGGGATCAGATGCCCAACAGGATTTAATAGGAGTTATATACAAGGCTTTAGCTACTCAAACCCATAGTAGAGTTGTGTTAGGAGGGGAGTAGCTATATATTCTTTCAATAGCTGACACACTAATCATCTTTGAGAATTCTTCAGGATGAGAAATTTGCATTGTTTATTTGTTTATATTCAGTACTTGTCAATATACACACATATTTTCCCGAAATGATTGTTATCATGTGAACATCCCATTGTCTTCTTTTATAAAGTCATGTCTAGATTGACAATCATTACAAAAGAACAGCTTATTTTTTTCCATCCTTTCTATTTCTACTGGTTCCATATCACTCAAAGAAAGAATCACAAAGCTAAAAATGACCTTGGAGGTCATATAATACAATGTTCCTCTCAGATATCTTTGAAGGCTCAGCTCCCCTTTCCAAAAAGAAAGAAAGAAAGAATGGAAGAATTAAAGAGGAAAAAAAGGGTGACTTTTTTTGCACTCTAAATCTAAAATTAACCTTATATATATATATATATGCCACCCTAAAATTTTTCTGCATATTTGATTATAACAAATTAAAATGTGTAATTATGTACAGGTGAAATTTAAACAGTAAACAAAAAAATCTTGTTAATATATAGTCCAACCTTACAGCTATCTTGAGTAAATATAAGTAAGCAAGAATTTTTTAGACCACTAGATGGCATGCATTCACTATAATCTTGATACAATAGGACTAGCTCTGTCCTAAAATAGAGACTTTCAAAATTTTATCCTACTATCCAGGGTTAAGCAAAAGGCAAGCATGTATTGTTTGATGATACTTTCCTATAGCTTAACACAATAATGTAGCACTGTTTTATTTTTTCCTGCCTACTTCAAATAAAACGTAGAAATATCTTTGAGTGCGTTTTGAAAAAATTCTTCTTAGGTACAGACTTATATCTATTCTTTAATTTCTATTTGTCCAGGTCAGCTAGGAGAAATATGCCACACATAACACTAGTTTGTCTGTTTTTAAGATTTGCTTTCCTTATCATTTCACATATGCTGTTCTCCAAAGATCAAAACTGTTTTCTTTTATGAGAGACTCGCAGACTTTTATAGGATTTAGGAGATAAGGATAAAATAATTTAGTGAGTCTCAAAAGTCATCCTCAAGGGGCCTTCAGATATCTACAGCTTAAAATTCCGTTAGTTCCCTTAAATGTCAATCCACTTTTGAAATCTTAAAAATAATTTGTTGGGAGGGACAAAGCATCTGAAGCTCAATCAATCAACAAACATTTCTTAAGCATCTACTGTGTACCATGAACTGTGAATCAGGAATTCAAAGACCAGAATTAAATAGTTCCTACCCTCCAGGACCTTACATTTATTAAGGGAAATGACATTTGTGTACACACACACACACACACACACACACACACACACACACACACAGAAACACACGCTGATATACACATAAATACATCCACACAAAGTAAATACTAGGTAATTCTGGTGAAGGCACGTGAAGGCACTAGGACCCATGGATGGATCAGGAATGGCCTCTTGTAGGAGGCAGCATTTGAGCTGAACTTTGAAGGAAGATAGATATTCTAAGAAATGCTGAAGACAAGGAAGAGACATAAGTCAGTCCCAAACATCAAATTACAAATTCAAGTTTGCAGAAGTTCTCCCAACCCAAAACTTTGAAAGAAGGTCTCCTAACTATAAAGTTGGGAGATTGTCCCAAAAGCAAATGAAATACTTCTAGACTTGAGTTCCAGGTGACTTACCTGTTCTAATATGTTTTGAAGTCTCTCTATTTCACAGTCTATCACAAATTTTTTTTCTTGTCTTCGATCCAGATCTTCTAGAAGCCTCCTGTAGCTGGCATCATTAAAGTTTTCCACACATATGGCACTGACATGCCAACCATTTTGTCCTGCTTTTTCCATAATAGCTTGAAGTATGGAGTATCCTAGAAGAGAAGAAGAAAAGTACTAAAAGTGTGTTTTTTCATTTCTTTAGCAAATGATAGCTAATTGCAAGGCATTTGCATGAACATGTTCAAGTCCCATCTTTCACCTACTGTTTATGCTTAGGAAAGTCAAAAGCCTGGATAGTTATTTTTATAATTGATTGTTCTCATCCTTCTTACTTTGGGCAACCACAGGAATTAGATATTAATTGGCTGAAGTTATAAACTTATGAACCAAATATACCCTAATTTGCTCACAGAGTGCTACCCCCAGTAGAATGTAAGCTTCTTCTGGGAGAGAAATATTTATTTTACTCTTCATATCTTCAGTATCTTGCAGTATCTTGCCTGTCATAGATGATTAATAAATGCTTTTTAAATTGAATGATCTTTGTAGAATGGAACATTATATATTTCAGGTTAGATAAAATGATATGGGAATAGTAGTTCAAGCCAATTTAATAAACATTGACCAAGTACCTACTACTTAGGAAAAAATGACTGTGTGAATCTGCTAGGTACTGGGACTACAAAGATGGAAAATGATACTGCTCCTGCAGTCATTAAGAGTACTCCTGACATATTTATGGTCTTTGTACATGGTAACAACATACCTAGGTAGCACAATGGTTAGCGTGCTGTGCCTGGAGTCAGGAAGACTAATCTTCCTGAGTTCAAATGTGGCCTCAGACCTTTACTAAGTATGTGACCCTGGACAAGTCACTTAACCCTGTTTGCCTCAGTTTCCTCATCTTTAAAATGTGATGGAGAAGAAAATGGCAAACCACTCCACTATCTCTGCCAAGAAAACCTCAAATGAGGTCACAGAGAGTCAGAAAATGCCTCAACAACAGCAACGTTTAAAATAGGTGACCAGAAAGGCTTCTGGAAAAAAAAATGACAATGACAATGTTTTTGTGCTGCATTTACAAAAAGTAGTTGATCCAAATATACAATATTGTCACTACATCATCATTCTTCTTTCCATCTCTGATTCTGGCCTATAAAAGAAGGATTTTTATAGAAAAAACATTTAACTATTTTCTTATTTTCCGCAGTTCTCTTGTTCTCTCTGCCTCTCTGTCTCTGTCTGTCTGTCTGTCTCTGTCTCTGTTTCTCTGTCTGTCTCTGTCTCTGTTTCTCTGTCTGTCTGTCCATCTGTCTCTCTCTGACACCCCCCCCACACACACATTACATATTATCAGGTCCCTAATCAAGATCAGCAATATTTAAGGTGCTCATCATGAGGATTCTTCTCACTAGACTGAATGGGTTCTTTCTGCAAATACTAGGACTGAGAGCTCTCCCATTCCATATTTCTCAAATATTTTATCTGAATAAAGAAAGATATGCCATTAGTTCTGTCACCCACGCTAATAAAGAAAGGGCAGGGAAGTGGTTTCAGAGTGTCTATTTTTATGACTCTTACTGTTCTTTTCTAACATCCCATCTTGGCTTTGTCTCCGAGTACAAAGAAACAAAGGAATGAAGATCCTAAGATTCTATGAATACCGCTGGGCAAATGACCGGATTTAAGGACTAAATGTTTTGTTTTCCTTTTCGAGTCCCTCCCCCCATAGTCTCTTAAACTATGGGTCCCAAACCTGGGGTCGCGACCCACAGTTGAAGAAGCTTGGAAGGGATCACAAGTGGAAAAAGTTTAAGAAGCCCTGAAATATGCCCTGGTGCTTCTTAAGAAGTTAGCTGGCCTCCCATCCAAAGCCCCACTATAACTGGCTACCTTTAGTCTCTGAAATGGTTTCCTTTAAACCAGGGACAGGAAGAAGATTACAACCAGCCAGAGTTTAAAATGAAACTTGCTAAAGACAGGGTGCTAATCATTTTTCTGTTTGTAGAATATCTTGAGTGATTATGTCTGCTGTAACTAAAGCATTTTACACATCACTGATAATAAATATTAAGAGATGGAGATACTGTTGAAATCATATTTATAATAAAATCACTTGACAACTAAAACGCTGCAGCAGGTGTGTTTTTTTTCATGTCATTTTCCCTCTTGCCTCATTTTCTTTTCCTGCCCCATACCAAAGACGAAATTATTCTGAAGTTCTTATTGCTCCATTTAATCTTTTCTTTTGTTACATTTGCCTCTAATTTTCTTTTCAAATTATGCCTAAATTCTCTTTTAAACACTGTCCCTTTTCCCTTATTTCCTATTCATTGCATATATAACATTATGGTGTTAATTCCATCAAAATATACATGATACAGATTAACATTTTCTTTGACTCAAAATGAACTTTGCTGTCAACACCAACTGATATCTTATTCTTTCTGGTTATTATAAATCTCTGTACTGAAATACATATTTTTTCCTACTTTATCTTCTCATCACCCCCAACATGGCTCAAGCCACATAAATAATGCTAGCAATCACACTTGGAAGCCTTTCTTATACCTTGAATCAAGCTCAGCTTGTCATATTTCTTGAGCAACTGCTTTTATTTTGGCACTTCTGGATGGACTTTTGTTGTTACTTGGCACTTAGATATATCTATTTTTATGCTAGCATGCCTTTCACAGAAGACAGAGCTTTGTGTTGTCTGATGAAATGCATGGTAGTGGTCTTACAGTAGACCTGATGATGGGTGTATTTTCACATAGTACATAATAAATTACTTCTCTATGTGTATCTTAATATTTGTAACTAATCATCAAAAATAGGAACCCCAGAATTCCAATGTTCTCAGTATCAGATGCCAGGACCTGATCCATGTTAAAAAGCTCTGACCTTGAATATTGAATCCTGAGTTTAGAGTATGGCTATCTGTCTGAAAACAAATTTGGAACTATAAACAGAAATAAATGAAACCTATTCCCAGTCTGTACAAACTGCATTATGCAAACAGTATAGAAGTTTCAGAGCATGAGCATGAAGAATGAGAACTCCTAAATGAAAGAAGCTGCTACACTCTAAAATACTTTCACTAATGATACAACATTATTTAGATGCATACTTTATTTATCTGGTCAAGGCAGTCTGGAATGCATTGTGAATACCAATAGGAAGCATGATTCAATCTATGATTACATAAGCAAATTTTTACATAAAAGAGAGAGGAGAGAGGCTGAAAGGTAGTGGCAAGTCACTTTTACTGCTATAACTTTAACTCTACTCTTTTTCCTCAAAATGCAGAATTTGATTTTTATCATAGGAGAGTTTGTGGGGTGCTTTAAAGTTTCATTCTGTGAAGATGGATTTTGAGGAACTTTTGAAAAGTACTTAATTTGGAATAATATGAAGGATAGTATCAATGTAGTGAGTATAATAAAATTATTCAACAGATGTAGTAGTTAGACCCTCCACTGAAATCTTTCTTGATACTAATGGTGGTCTGGAGGTGACCTTGGATTCTCAAAGGCTATGCCAGCAGGTCTTGCCAACCTTGAAAAGCTTCAAGTTTGGGCACAGTGACAGACCATACGTCTGTTGTCTGAGGACCATCCTAACTAATAAGCATAGAAAGGACTCAGGACCAGAGGGATAGACAGCAGGTGATGATTTTTTTTTTTTTTGGCCAGAGCCAATCATAAATTCAACTACTAAGGCTAGGATAGAATTGTGATCTTCATGGATGGAGGGAGCACACAGATGAATCAGAACATAGATCTTTGGTATTAAAGTCAACATGGGAATTATAAGGCAATGTGGTATTTTAGATAGACTGTTTGTCTGGAGACTCAGAAAGACCTAGGTTTTGGTTTTGCTTCTGGCATATACCTAGGTTTGTGTCCCTGAATCTGTCATTAAAGTCTCATTGCCTCTAGGTAGTTCTTGAAAATTATAAGTTGCAGAGTTTGTCATTGTAGAAATTTATTAATAAAAAGGAGGGTATAAAGTTATTGTTTTAGAACAAAATGAATTAATCAATTTTTAAAGTTATATAAGAATGATATCAAATATCAAAAAAAAGCCTTTCTAAAATAATATGACAAAGAATCATGGAGACAGAAGTGACCTTGAGAGGTCATCTACTACAAGATTAAAAATATCCTTTTTTCCCCCCAGTTACTTAGGGATGCTGATCTTTGGGGGTGAACAATTAAAGCAGGCTAACACTCCTGATTCTTCACAAGTGAGAAGGCTGCTATGAGTATTTCTGGGAAGGTTTGTTTTCTATACTCATTTATAAATGTGATATAGACCATTATTCTACTTACTCCTAATACATGGTTCATTTTAGACAGGCATCTGTTCTATTTTCCACTGGAAAGGAAGGAAGATTTCAAGTATTTCGTATTTTCTTTATAGATAAACAACAATAATACAGTTAAAGCCTATGAGAAAAATGGAAAACTACTGCTGAATTATTTGTTCTATAGGAAGAGGATTAGAAGGTAACTTCTTAGTTTTCCTTACCTCTACTCTCTCTCCTTCTCCAGTTCTTTAACTTTGTTGCTTTTTTTGTTAAATCTTTCCCAAGTTTTTCATATTGTGTCTAGCCCTGTGCTAAAAGGCATGTGTATGTAGGTGGGGTGGGGAATGCTATTTCTTTTGTCTGAATTCACCTTTTTCATTTGTGATAATGGCAATTTTGTTTCCCTCCTTCTCTTTGAAAAAAAATTAAATTATTAATGGGCTTTCATTTCTCTCTTCTCCCCAAATCCTAGTTCTTAGTTTTATTTCTTAATTCCATTTTATTTGCTTTAAATTTTGTGATTTTCTTTTGATTTTTAAAATGTCTGTTTCTTGAGCTTGTGTTTCTAATTGCTTAGATTTCTAATTTTTAAAAGTTGTATGCCCAATTCATTTATCTGTTTTTTTATATTTAATTTTTTCCCAATTACAATTAAAAACTATTTTAACATTCATTTTTAAAAATTTTGAGTTCCAAACTCCCTTGCTTCTTCTTCCTTTCCCTTACTGAGGCAGCAAGCAATTTGATATAGATCATACATGTGCAGTCATGCAAAATATATTTCTATATTAGTCATGTTATGAAAGAAAATAGACTAAAAAATCCCCAAAGTATGCTTCA